GCACTTCCATTAGCCATGCCAAAGCCACTTTTCTCCTAGAGGCAAAAAAGGCAAAAGGATACACTCGATGTCAGCTATGCAGTGAAGACTTGATGAGGTTCTTCAGCTCTAAATGGGGGCAGAACTTGGGCTAGCAGAAATGAATTTTCAGACACCTGGCAATTGTTTTGGTTTGTTTCTGTTACTTCCTGAAGGTAAAATGTCTGTATTTTACTTTATTTTTCAAATTCCCTGCTTGCAGCTGCTGATTTCAGTTCAGCTTTACAGTTTGCCCTGGCAGCCAAAGGGACGTTGCTGCCTTTCCCTTTGCAGGCTAAGAATGAAAATGAAACGGTCACTTCTTCAGTGTGGGTTACTCCAGAAGAGGGTGCTCAAAGCTCAGAAAAGTCACGAGGATCAGTTTAAGAGCCGTTATCACCTCTGCAATGACTTTCAGTCTCCCTTCAGCTTCCACCTGCAATGTCAAACCCAGATCTACCACTGCCACATTGAAACTACTATTTTTCCCCTCGCAGAAAGTTGACAACTGGGAGCATATTCTCCTATCCTGTTAGGCCAGAGTTATACTAATGATGGGTCTTAGAATTGTGCTTGAGCACAGAATCATAGAAGGTTTTGGGTTGGAAAGGACCTTAAGATCATCCAGTTCCAAGCCCCTACCATGGGCAGACAGGCCTCGCACTAGACTATGTTGCCCAAGGCTCTGTCCAGTCTGGCCATGAACACTGCCAGGGAGGGAGCATTTACCACTTCTCTGGGCAACCTGTGCCAGCACCTCAGCACCCTCACAGGGAAGAACTTCTTCCTTATATCTAACCTGAACTTCCCCTGTTGAAGTTTAAACCCATCACCCATTGTCCTGTCACTGCAGCCCCTGATGAAGAGTCCCTCTCCAGCATCCTTGTAGCCCCCTTCAGACACTGCAGGCTGCTCTGAGGTCTCCACACAGCTTTTCTTCTCCAGGCTGAACTGCCCCAACTTTCTCAGCCTGTCTTCGTACGGGAGCTGCTACAGCTTTCCCATTCAAGCTGTGCAGGATAAAAGACAGATGCTTTGGCTGTCCATGTGATGGCACTATTTGAACACATTTTTCCTCTTCTGAGTGCTGCAGTTTAACTTCTGTCTTGGCAAGAACCAACTTCTGGGTAATTCCAGGAATTTTACAGGATGAAAGAACACAAAAGCTTGTAGGGGAACAGACAGAGTAGCTGGGCCTGCAGAGGAAGGAACTGTCAGCAGGGAGCCTGGCAGGTGAGCAGCACATTGACGGGATTTCAATCACACACCAGCAGTGGGAAGCCAGAGCACCCAGAGCTAAAGAACTGCAGACTGAGGCTGCCTCGATTCAACCAGCACTCAACATTCCAATTCAGTTCACGATTCACACAAACACAAAAGGCCAAAAGCATGAGAAACACAGCAGTGAGGAGAAGGTGAGCACCAACAGATGGGGACAGATTGCAAATGGAGGGAGCTCATAAATCACTGTAACAAGGCATGTGAGACCCAAAAAATACAGCAGCAGAGAGAAGACAGGCTGACAACAGTGTGCCAACAGACAGGAATAGATTACATAGGGCACAGCAATGAGGGAAATGGATCCCACACAAAATTCCTTCTGCTGGAAACCATTCAGTTAAGTCACTGGTCACAGGTACTATGAAAAAGGCTTCTGGACACGCAATAAAGGATTTTTCCTTTCTCCAGCATGTAGAAGGAAGAGTTAGAGGAGGGCAGGCCACAGAGAACAGTCTCTAAATGTGAAAGTGAAAGGAAAGTTGTGCCTGAAGTAATCCCAAGGCTAGAAAAAATGCTGCTGGAAATGAGGAGGTATTTCTGCTCTCACACACTTAGGGGGCAGCTGGTGTAGGGGTGTTGTGTGTGCCTATGCCTGTCCCTTCATCACAGTAACAGCTGGTGGGGCAAAATTCACCACCTTGCTGTACACACCAACCCAGCAGAACCTGACTGCACGTACCTAGCTGCACCAGGACTGAGCAGAGTCTGCTGCCTGTCCCTTGCTTTCAGTAAGCAGGTTTGTCTGTGTCAGCATTTCTCTTAGGAATGTTTTTCCTGGTTCATGGAAGTCAGACGGGATCTGTCAGTCAGCAGTTCTCCTTCCCAGTACCAGGCAGTCACTTTGCTGATCATTATGCTTTAAAATGATCCAAAGCTCATTATTAATGCACTGAGGCAGGAACTGCCAATCACAATCCACGTAACATAGCTGGGGATAGCAGTAACTGGTCCCAATTGCAGAAAACTGGGGCAGATGTGCTGGCAAACATCCAATTGCTTTTACCTGCACTTTGCTCCTTCCCTTGCACCTCCTCTGTCCTTTCCAGGCTGTTCCCATGACCACAGGAGTTAGAGAACACAGTGCTGTATTCCTTTTGTCCACCTGATCAGGAACACTCACTGCTGCATTAGTGACAATATCTGCTTCTTAGTTCAGCTTTCTGCTTTGCTTCCACAGAGATCAGCCCTTGTTCTGTGGAAGCTGGGTTATGCCAGCCACTGGCTTTGGACACCATTGCGTGGTACGGCCAGCCACTGGCTTGGGACACCATTCTGCATTGCCAAAACAATCCCATATCAACTGGACTTTTAGCATCATGGAACCCTCATAAGTGCTTATTCTTGGTGCACAGCAAACCAGTGGCATGTTTTTGGACCGTTAGCCAGAGGTGAAAAAAGCAAATACCTGGAGAGGTCAGAGTAGAAACCCTCTAGCTTTGCCCCTCCATCAGCAATCCTCCAATGAGTAGCATCAGCATGGAGGGCAGGTAGAGTTTACCCTCGCTCTTGAAGGTGTTACTCTGGCAGTTAGCAACTACTGGAGAGTTCTCAGTCCCATGTAGATAACCCTGAGCAACCCTGGAGCAGCCATGCTTACACAGCAAACACAGGGCACGCTCCCCACCCTCTGTTGTCAGACAAACTGCACTTGTACTTTCTGGGCAAACAGCTTTATTACAGTAAGGAAGAAAGCTTTCCACATCTCAGGCTCCACCTTCAGCTCTTCGAGTCCACACAGCAAGGGCAGCACTCCTTGGAGAAAGGAGAGTAAACCTGAGCACCAGCAACCCTGGGACAGGGAGATGTCCAGGCCCTCCAGCAGCTCCATTGCCCTTCTCTGGCCCCACTCTAGCACCATAATGTCTCTCTTGTAGTGAGGGGTCCAAAGCACACAGTCGTATTCTCACAAGTGGAAATCAGCCCAGCAGTTGGTTGCCAGCTGGGGAAGAGATTGGAGGATGGGAGGTGTAAATCTAGCCCAGAGCATCAAACAGTTTACTCCCCATGCTGCCTGGAAATGGAAATGCTCACTTTGCTGAACTGAGGCTCCGTGGCAGGACCATTATTGAAGACAATATTGCTGAAGATGAGGGAGGATTGAGGGAGGCAGGGTCCAACATGCTCTGGGGCTGTCACGCCATGAGGTCAATCCAGAGGTCAGTAGGCTTTCTAGCTGAAGCCTGGACTCATAAGCAGAGCTGATATGCTCTCAGTGAACCGCCTGAGGTTACATCTTGACTCTAGATGAGCTTGTAATATGGTGTTTTGCCAGCAAAAGAGCCTGCTGAGCTCCTTCTGAATGGAGAAAGGTGGTATGCAAAGGTGTTGGTATCTGGGCCAAGAGAAGAGCAGAGAAATGGCAGTGACATCTGGCACTTGGAGGCAATGTCGACCTCCACCTTCAGCAGCAACAACAAAAACAATACCTTGAGCCCTGTTAGACAAGGGAAAAGAGGGAAACAACGTGCTAATCCCCACATCCAGCACCTCTGGAATGATACCCATAGTGCCAAAAGCCCAGGGAGCACAAAACACCCCTGGGATTCTGTAGGCAGGTCCTGGCAGGAGTTTTTCTTTTCCCTGACAGCTGAAGTACTGCACAATTACTGATTTTATGACATAGAAAAATTGATGACAAAGTCCTTCAGTAAAGAACACGTGATCAGCCTTTGTTGATCAGTGACAAGGACAATGGTGGTACATACCAGCTGCTGGTGCTGGAGCAGAGCCAAGCCCTGAAATGAGCTCTTGGATACCAAATGAAGCACGGTCAGGGTGACTTGTCCTGCCTTACACCCTGCAATTGGCATCAAACTCTTAACACCCTAAATGGAACAGCCAAAGAGTCAGTGCTGGCTTATTCACCTACCAAGAGAAGAGCACTGGGTTGTGTAACTCAGTTGCTCCCATGAGACATATGTCAATCCATCCCCCAGATCCTAAGTGATACTTCAAGGTCTCACAAAAGTGTTGAATTAGCTGCAGTCTCTTCTGGCTTTAAGCAGTGGATTCAGACAAGCAGGACAGGCAACCTCATCCTCCTGCATTCCAGCTTTCCCCCTGAGCAGAATGATGGGCTCCATGTCAGCAAAGCAGCTTGGACTCCCCCTTTTTTTGGGGCGAGGGAGAGGGGAGGGTGGGTGCAGGCCTTTTTCCATCCTAGGTGTCATGGTCCAAGCCCAGTCGGCAACCCGGAACCATGCAGCCGCTCACTAACTCCCCCTGCTCCCAGAGGGATGGGGAAGAGAATTGGAGGAATGTGACTCCCATGGGTTGAGATAACAGCAGTTCAGTAACTAAGGTATAATACAAACCACTGCTGCTACCAATAATAATGATAAGGGAAATAACAAGGGGAGAGGACACAGCCGCTCACCACCCGCAGACCGATACCCAGCCCAACCCGAGGAGCGATCTGGGCCTTCCGGGTAACTCGCCCCAGTTTCTATACTGGGCATGACGTGCTGTGGTATGGAATAGCCCTTTGGCCAGTTTGGGTCAGGTGTCCTGTCTCTGCTTCCTCCTGGCTTCCCCTCCTCCCTGGCAGACCATGAGACTAAGAAAGTCCTTGGTCAGAGTAAACATTACTGAGCAACAACTAAAAACATTGGTGTTATCAGTGTTGTTCCCAAACTGAAAGTCAAAAACACAGCACTGCACCAGCTACTAAGAAGGACAAAAAATGACTGCTGTAGCTGAACCCAGGACACTAGGTCACTGTCATTTGTCACTGCATCTATGTGAGACATGTTGACCATCACTTCTGCAGCTGGGAGGGAGCTCTCAGGCTGAGGATGCTCACGGCCCTCTGTAGTGATCATTCTTGTCATAATCTTCTTCCTCCTCCTCCTCCTTCAGATCTTGGTCATTCTCATCATCACTATCTACTGCATTGTCCTCGATCACTTCAACTGTTTCTCCAGCTTCTGGATCCACACTTGTCTTAAACCACACAGCTTTGTAGCCATCATCTGCCACATGCCTGTCTGTCTTGAGGATAGACTTCACCTCTTTCTTAGGTTCAGTGTCTCCCACTTCTTCCTCTTTCTCTTCCTGGTCAAAGGTAATAGTAGAAGCTACAAAAGCCTTTGGGGGGCTGTTAATTTCTTCTGCATTGGAAGAGGGCAAGGGAAGTGCTGGTTGCTTTAGTACATGTGTCATTGACTGGACACTGCCGTTCTCCGATGCCTCATGCTGTTTGGTGCTCACATCTGGGAGTGTCTCTTGCTTGTAGCTTTGGTTCTGGGAACCCCTAGAGATTTCCTTCGAGAGCTGTAGGAGGAGAGACACCTTGTGATTGTAGTGAAAGGAGAAGACACAGGGGAAAAAGGCGTGGCCAAAGTGACTGAGCTACTACTGCTTGTTTTGCAGTTAGACCTGTTTGAAGCCTGGGAGAGATACAGCTCCCTGGAACAGCTATTTTCTACTGACTCCATTTCTGGATTATTTTTCAGATAAGCACAGGCATGTTTTCCAGGAGGGCTGAGCACCAGCAATGTGTATTGGGTTGTACCCATCCACTTTGGGTATTACCCTGGAGTGTGATTTACCTCACTCAGGGTGAGGTATGAGGTATTCACCTGAGCTATGTGCTCTGGCCTCATTTTGTAGTCAGTGGGATCTAAGGCTTCTGACAGTCCTATCCTAAGGCAGAGACCAACCAACACCTGGTCCTCAACTTCAAAGCAACCAGTCTGCCATGGACTTGAGAGCACCAAAAGGAAACAGCTCAGCTACAGACAACTGTCTAAACCGAGGCTTTAGCACAGGGTATGAAGAGACCTTTATCTCCTTTGACCACAGAGGGAGGATGGATAGTGATTTATACCATAGACACAGGTTTTTCAGAGACTGCCTCTGACATGTGTCACATTCATCCTAAATTTTGTGCTCCATGGAGCTGTGGTCCTTACCTTGCCATGTCTGCTCACCATCTACCATACAGCTCCAGCCTTTGGGGCCAGAAAAGAACAACAGCAAACCCCACCTTTGCAAACAGTGTCTCAGGAGCAATTCATCACCTTCACAGAGACATGTGTAGTATTTGGACAGCCCATCCCAACTTTAAAACCTCCTCAGATTCTAATTCCTAACTCAACTTCAGGTACCAACAAGGCACTTACCTTTTTCCTTATGAGGTATTTGACTGGTTTTCTGTACTGTTTATATATCATCACTCCAAGGAAGACTAAGGCAAGTAATAGCAGTGCTGCTAATGTACCACCTAAGATAGCCATATCCTGAGCAGTGTATGCCTTATCAGAGGAGGTTACAGCTCCAGCTACAAGAAAAACAAACCAGTGTTACAAAGCCTAAAAATGGCACTTTTTATGGAAGCTTTAACACAACATTCCATTGTGTGAGAAGCTCCAACCAATTTTGGAAGGGCAAAGCAGCATCCTGTGCTGCTGAAAGTGACAGGAATATATTTAGTATCACAGAAAGCCATTTGTTTGCTGTCCTAAAAGCAGGGGGTTTGTTTTTAAGGTGACCACCCACAGAATATTGTAACTTCCAGTAAGTTACATGAAGTGGAAATAGCATTCATTCACAGGACTTCCCCTCCCTGCCCCCCTCCCCTGATTTAACCAAGTTAATATTTACATGACAGTATAAGGCCAGCAGATGCTACATGAAGTAAGGCTACTTAGGTCTTTTACTTTCCCACCTCACCCATGTACACCAGAATGCAAAGTGAGGTTTATAACATGTGTGAAAATGAAAAGCTTCCTTTAATCCAAAGCATTAGCTCTGATACTGATGAGCACATTAAAATAAGAAATAAACAAGCATAAAGAGCAGGAAAAGCATTAGAAGGTCCCCAGCACAGGAAACCTTTCCCTGCCTTTCTGTAGATGTACAATATACAGCAGCCTTCTCAGGAGCAGCTTGTGCTTTCAGCCACCAGGCAGTGCAAGCAGATCTGTATAGAGATCAACATTACAGTGGAAAGACAGTAACCTCCTCAGGGTTAAACAGCTTTGGTGGTGGTGGTTTCTTCATATTTACATTTTCCAGCTTCACTTTATAGTGTAAATAAGTCTCTAAAGTTTAATGATTAATGAATCACGGTTTTGTTCTCATGCTGATCTGTTTGTGACAGTGGACTTTGAGTATTCCTTCCACATCTGACTGCACTCTCAGTTTATCTTTAAAAGAGTTGGTGATGGTTTAGGACCTATGCTGAGAGCATATCATATCTCCTGGAGAGCCACAGCCTGTGAAGCTGACATGGAGCTCCACCACCCTTAACTCCTGTGCTGTGCAGCACATGGTGCCTCTGTGAGAGCTGGCTCACCTTGGGAATGACTTACCTCGAGATCCATGTGAGCTTTGCTCTAACAAACCAGAGGCCAATGAACAGTTATTACTTTCCAGAAGGAGGGCATATTAAAAACAACTCTGGTTTCTCCCTGGATATCTGGATACTCAGTAAAGCACTCTCCAACCTGTTCATAGAATGGTTTGGGTTGGAAAGAACCTCAAGATCATTCAGTTCCAACCCTCTGCCATGGGCAGGGACACCTCACACTAGAGCAAGGCTGTGTCCAGCCTGGCCTTGAACACTGCCAGGGATGGAGCATTGTTGGATGCACATTCCTTAGCACCACCTTTTAGTGTCCAGGGTTAAATATCCTGCAGATTGGTCAGGAAAACGGTGATCTCAGCTCAGCTTAGGCCATTCCTGGATGTTGGCTATAGTATAAAGCACAATTCCTCCCACAGGAATGGCTCACAGGAGCCATTCGGTGGAACTTCAGTCTACTTTTTTGCATAGTTACCAGCATCATTTTGTGTGGTTTAAATAAGAAGGGCAACATTTAAAAGTTGCATAGAAGTGTTGGTACATCTGTTGGGAGCCTTTGTATCTCCATGCACTGACACCTGAACTAGCTTTCTGCTGAGCTGGGCTGTGCCCTTAGATTGGGTCTAGGTATTTTTACACAGCCAGTGGTTTTAGCTGTGAAGTGAAAGATTCACATCTAGGCCACCCACATTTTTATCCTTCAGAAATCCCCATGATGGTGATAAGAGGGTGATGTAATGGGAGAGCCTAGCTGGGAACTTCAATCATACATCATCATGTATAAACAAATGGAGTCTGGGCATTATCTGCCCATCCTGATGTGAAAATGCATGATATTGGTTCATCTTAATCCAAAGCATAAGAAGTTCAAATCTAACTTAGTTAATAGGTCTTAATTTATAAGACCTATTTAAGAACCATTTCAAAGTAGTAGGGAAGTGAGAAAGATTTTTACACCAACAAAGCCAAATGGTAGCTGGAGGGTTGTGTATGTAAGCCTCATGTCTCTCCTATTTCTCATGGGTGATTTCTCCTGCTAAGACCTTAAAATCTGGCAGTATAAAACTTGACTTGACCTGAGCCTGAGCTCATGAGGAAGCCTGGCTTTGTGGGGGTGTGCCACCTTCTGCCTGCTTTGTATAGATGGGAAATAACATTGCAGCTTTCTCTGGATTTGGCTAAAAAGGAGCAATGATGCACTAAGGTGTCAGGGCAACCCTCCAGTGCCATGATGACACATCATGTGTTCTTTCTGACCCACAGAACAGCAGGAGGTAATCCCAGATTTAGCTTTGGAACAACAGGAAAAAAACACTGCAGTACACAGAGCTACCTAAAGTCTCAGAAGGCTGTTTAAGGCATGTGGTGACCACATCGTAAGGATGATATTTGACTATTTTCCTTCTTGTAGCCACTGTAGAACCTCCTGTAGGTATGGGGTTGGCCTCAGCCCAGGTCCACAGACTTTGGTGGGTGACCTGTCATTGTCAGTTTGCCAACAGAAGTAGAAAAGACTCCCCAGTCATCTCCACAAAGCAGAAACCAAAGAGACACTCAGCCTACCTGTGGCACGCACAACCTCCACCACAATCACAGTGCTTGCCTCCTGCAAGCTCACAGTGTCTTTTCCAACAGCCTGTGTGAACATGGGAAAGACAGAGCTTAGGGACTTCCTACATCTCCAGCTCAATCCCAAGGTACATGGTGGGCCCTTTGTGGACAATATAACTTGTCCATCTCCTCACCACACTACCCCTCCCCTCCATGACCCTAGCAAGATATGAAGAAAGCTGTCCTACCTCAATGGTTACAGTTTCTGGGGACTGCAGTACCGCATTTGTCAGGATGAATCCATCTCTGGTTGCAATGAAATCAGTACTGTTTTTTATGTAGTACTCAATATTTGGGTTGACTTTCTGAAAAGCCAGAAGAGTGAATGATTAAACCACAGTTTGTGCTTTGGGGGCATCTTCATAACAGCCCTTTGCAGGACTTGTCAAACACACCTGAAGTATGAGGAACGGTATAGAGTAGAAAATAAATCTAGACTGAGGAGGTGAGAAAAGCTGAACTCAAACATGTTCACCCTTGAATTCAGCTCCTTAGAGTCCAATAATGCATCCTAAAAGTATTGCCTCCAAAACAACCCCAAGTCTCACCCACCTTTTGCTGGTACCTTTAGCATTTACCCAAGCAAAACACATCTGTGCATGGGACCATGTCAAGCTGATCAGTTCTGCCTTTAAAACAGTGCCAAAGGGGGATGTACATGGAGAATAATAGCCGTGCTGAAGGATGCACAGTTTCTTCCTTTGGGTCTAGGCTGTTAGACCTCTACTAAACCCCAGTTATGTTATGGAAGCCTTTGCAGCAGTAAAACCAGCACTTTTTGTTTTTACTCGGTGGGATGGGAATGGCTGATCAGGAAGTCTCTTCCCATCCCTTCTCCCAGTGCATTGTTAAAGAATGGCTCTCTCCAAAGGAGACTTTAAAGGGAGAAGGTTACAATTCCCAGCCCAGGATTGCAGGTCCTTCCTAGTCTGCTGTCTTTGGGCTGGCTTCTCCTCCCAGGCCAGTCCACAGGTAACTCTGCTTGTCCTGGCTGGGAGAACACCTCCTCCTGCGATCCTGCCACAACAAACTCTTATAGGAAATGCTTCACCCAGTCCTCCTTCAGACCTGGACCCATTCCCAGTATTGGCTGGCACTGGGCTCTACTCAGTGTGCTGTTTTGCAGTGGATCAGCTCACCTATGTGAATCTGGGGGTTTAGAATAGAGTGCTCCAGCAGCTCCTCCACATTACACCAGAAGCAGTTCTGATACATGTGTAATTCCCAGGGAAATGTAAGAGAGAACACAAGAGGAAAGGATGTGTTTTCCTCTCCCCACCTCCCCTTCCTCATGTTTTCTGATCCTAACCCTGAAGCAGCAAGAAAGAATGTGGTGCATTTTCAATTTCTTACATCAAGGAAGTCATCATCCACTGCTGTTATCATCAGGGGGCTTGAAGGATCACCAGCTTGGAAGACAAAGCTCCCTGCGGCCAGTCCAACAAACACTGTCCCACTGTAGGTCTTGTTCTCAAAGTATGGTGGATGCTCACTTTTATTGATGACCTTAATCTCTACACTGGCTATGGAGTATTTCTGGATGTTGTTGACCTGGGTGGCCTGGAGAGAAAGAGAGAGAGATGCTGCCCATTTCCTAGTAGTGATGAGACATAAAAGATAGGCTTGATCTGAAGTCCATTGCAACCCATGGGGTTCTGCCCATCGTTTCTAGTGAGCTAGGCCTGCCACAGGGGGCCTTAGGGAGTCCTTGTGTTTGGTATGTGTTGCATGGGGTGCTTTTCAGCTCAAACCTTTCCTCTTGAGCTGTAGCCAGAGGAGGAGCTTGTCTTTAGGATTATGTTAACCACTGTAACAGAAGCTCCAGTCATGCCTAAAGAAAGCCTTCCAGTCATGCTCCTCCACTTTCAGCTCAGCAGGATGCCCCTTGTTCAGTTAATTTGCTTTGATGCAGCAACCCACATATTGGGAAACTGCCTGTTAACTTCTGCAAGAGTAAGTTGATATAAGACACCAGTCAAATACTAGGGCCTTCCAAAAGAAGGGGTGTAACTGTGTGACTAAGGTAAGCAACTCCTGTGGCATCAAACCTGCTGCCTCCTCAAAAGCCAGCTTTGCTGGCCTCTTGGCTGCTGTGCCATCACACTTACCATCACCTGCAGGAGGAACCCATCTGGGGAAGTGGCTGCTTTGTTCATAGTCAGATTCCCTGTGTCTGCATCCACTGAGAATACTTTGTCTGTATCCCCTAAGGAAAATGGAAAAACTATTAAATCATCAGATACCTTCATAAAGTGACCTGGAGCTCATGGGCTTTCACATCTTAGTGACCATACCCCCAGGGCATCATGCAGCTTTCTGGCCTGGCTGCTCTGAGTGCTGGGACTGCTGGCCAGGGTTTCAGAGGGACTCAACAGACAAAAAGCACAAAGGAGATGCATGTGAACCCAACTAGATGAGGCAGAACAGCAACATTTTGCCTTTCCAGTGCCTAGGCCCAGCTATAATCAGCTTAAATTGTGCTAACTGCCCAGAGCCTCTGGTACAATTTGAGGACTGAACGTCTCCAGTTCCCTAACATGAACCCAAAGGGCATTTCAGGAGAGATAAGGGAAAAATTATTCCTATTTTAAAGGTGAGAAACCAAGCTACAGAGAGTAGTTGTGTGAAGATTAGTCTCAAACAGCTCTAGGTATCTAAAGGGAAAACATCTCTACCTGAACTTGTTACATATATTGTGAAGAGAAAGCAGCATCTTGGTGCATGATGTATCCAACTTTCTGTGAACACTGGCCTAACATGAGCTGCATTCCACTCTGGAAATGCTTACTTCTCTCTACAAATGGAGCCTAGACACAGAAACCTTCTTGGATTGTAAAGGGATGTAGGAGTAGAAATCAGCTTCCTACCTCTCTAATCTGTGTTTGAATCATGAATGCATTTATGTACGTTAAACTAAAAGCAACATTTTTAGTTCTCTGCCTCATTCTGAGCCACCATGGGCTGTATTTAGGCAGTCATCGAGGGGGTCTCCTGTGGGCAGGTACCGCAGGGGACACGTAAGCAATGCAGTCTGTGGAAGGTGACAACTTCTACTCACCACCAACAATACTATACACAATCCTCTCATTTATAGTGTAGTCAGGATCAATGGCGTGGATAGGCCCCGGTTCCAGGATGAGTGGTTCTGTCTGCAACAAGGCAAAGCATTACATAGCCCAGTGCAGCACCACAGCAGCACTGCAGCACCCTCCCAGCACAGCACGGCTCGGATGGTTTTGTCTGGGCAGAATGGCATTTACTGCTGGGAGAGGGCTGTAACCAGGCAAAGGGGGGACAGCCCAGAGCAAAGGGGTTTCCAGCACACCGAGATGTGCTGCAGGACAGGGACAAGCAGTGCTGCTTGGGGTGGGGAACCTCCACTTCCCAGGATGATGAAGGCTCCCTGTCATGCTGCATTGATGACTGAAGATCAGGATGAGCCCATGGAAGTTACTAGGCACTACCCACTGGGAACAGCATCTGGATACTGTTTGAGAACAGCACTAAGGATCTTTCCTGCTTACCGACACCTCGGATATATTGACCCTCCCAGTGTAGGGGCTGCTGATGCAGATGTTGTTGTCCGTGTTAATGAAGGTACAGGGTAGGAACCAGGGAGGTTTGGTGTCAGACTGTTCAATAAGTATATTTATAGTTGCAGTAGCTGTGTTGGTGGCGTCAGAGCTGTCCACAGGCCTGTCCTGTACCCAAAGGCAAAGCAGACTCATGAGATGCCCAAAGAAGAACCCATCTGCAAAAGCCAGTGACCCAGGGGCTTTTACCTGTTGTAACTCCAGTCTAAGGCTTAGCAGTTTAGTGACATTAGCTAAAGCAGTGAATTATCATCTCATTCTGCTGATGAGGTGGACTGAATACAAGTGTGCAGTTATGGAGGATGAAAGTTTACTCCAAATTCACCACCCCAGTATCCACCTTCTCCCCTGCCATCCCAGAGATCTCCCATTCAGACTTATCCTTCAGTTAAGAGCCACTGGGGCAAAGAAGGCACTTTGTTCCTCCTGAAGAACTTACCCGTGCATACAGCAGCAATGTTGTCAGTTTAAATTTGTCATAGTCCAATGCTCTTCTTAAATAAATTTCTGGGTTATTAAGTCCTTTTATGGCAAAATAATCTTCTGTGCCCTGGTGGGGGGAAAGGAAAATCCTTACTAGCAGAGTGAGTCACAGACATGATCAAAGTACTGCTCATTGCTGTGTTTGTCATCCCATTCAGACCTTCAATCCTGCGGACCAGGGTGAGCAGGCAGGGGTAGTGTGAGAATGCCAGATCCTGGCTTGTCATAGAATCACAGAAAGGTTTGGGTTGGAAAGGACCTTAAGATCATCCAGTCCCAACCCCTGCCACAGGCAGGGACACCTTCCACTAGAGCAGGTTGCTCCAAGCCCCTGTGTCCAACCTGGCCTTGAACACTGCCAGGGATGGGGCAGCCACAGCTTCTCTGGGCACCTTGTGCCAGCGCCTCAACACCCCCCCAAGGAAGAGCTTCTGCCTTGTATCTAACCTGAACTTCCCCTGGTTCAGTTTGAACCCATCACCCCTTGTCCTCACTCCAGTCCCTGATGAAGGTCCCTCTCCAGCATCCTTGTAGCCCCCTTCAGACACTGGAAGCTGCTCTGAGGTCTCCAAACAGCTTCTCTTCTCCAGGCTGAACAGCCCCTACTTTCTCAGCCTGTCTTACCAGAAAGGTTTGTTCAGACTCCTGTGAGTTTTCTTCTCCAAGACCCTCTGCTTGGCCTGCCTACCTGCTCAGCAGGCCATGGATGGCATTTTTTACCTCATTTATTTCCTACGCTCAATATATTGCCTTTGGTTTGGGTCCATGACAGCCAAGCAATCTCACATTCATGCACAGGACAGACGAAGGATGGCTCAGCCTCAGACCTAAGATCACTTGCCTTAGCCTAGAGCTTTGGAAGCCACTGCAAAGCCAAACTGAAATAACATACATTGCATTTTACGTTAGAATCATCCGCACTTGTTTTGGTTCTCCTTTAATCTTATGTCTTCACCAGAATTACCAAGCAAATCCCTAAAGAGCAAATAAACTCACTGAACTGGAACCTGGGAAAAGCAGAGTCTGCCTTTGGCTTTGCCAAAGACTTTTTGTGGGATCTTGGGCTGTTATCTCCACTCTGCGTGGACACAGTTGGCAAACAGGATGAGGACTCCTCCTTTCCCTATTCAACTCCGTACAACCCTCAACTCAGTGGGGTACAAAGGTCTCTACCCAGCATGTTTACAGAAAATCCCAACAACACTTTCCTGGATGATATGGCTCAGAACATCCCAGACAAAAGCTTATTCTGTGCAGTGGAATAAACATGGAAGCAGTAAAAGATTTCAATACTGAAATACTGAATGCTCGGATCTGCTAACCAAACCAACCTTTGGGTTTTGCAAGAGATGTACCTCTTCCAGAAGCTGTCAGAGAACTAAATACAATACAGTGACCTGAGCCTCCAAAATTGTGGTCTTCTGAATTAAACACAAATACTTTTCCAGAGCTACTATTTTCCCCTGCAGATGCTCACCTGCACTATTGTTGTGAGTTCATAGAAGATGGTGTCCTGGTCAGCATCAGTGGCACTTAACTCCTCACGGGCTATAATGGTTGCATTCACTTTTGTATCCTGGAAGAGAGTTGCTGTGGTTATTCTCTCTGTGAAATGGGCTGAAGACTTCTCCCAGCTAATGCTTCCTTAGCCTCACAGCACTGAGTTCCCTCTTCACTCCCATAAAATGCTTACCTCAGGAACAACTTGGGTGAGGTTGGTTTGCTTGAACACTGGAATGTTGTCATTCTCATTGAGAATGGTCACCAGAATTTCCAAGGAATAACTCTGTAGAAAGCGTAAAAAGAGAGTCAAAGACAAAAAATAAGACTGCTAGGGCTGATCCTTCTTTGCAGAGTGACCAGAGGGGATGGATTGGGTAAGGAGCACATCTGGACAGTGGCTGAATGGGGCTGGGGTTTTTAGTCAGCCCACACTGTGTGTGAGTTTGTTCCCACCCTTTCCCTATTCACAGAATCCCAGACTGGTTTGGGTTGGAAAGAACCTTAAGATCATTCAGTTCCAAGCCCCTGCCACGGGCAGGGACACCTTCCACTAGAGCAGGTTGCTCCAAGCCCCTGTGTCCAACCTGGCCTTGAACACTGCCAGGGATGGGGCAGCCACAGCTTCTCTGGGCACCCTGTGCCAGCGCCTCAGCACCCTCCCAGGGAAGAGCTTCCCAACACCCCTTGTCCTATCACAGAGCTTTGGGTGCTCTCTTTGACTGAGAGGAGTGTGTCCAAAGAAAAGGACATCTCATCCAGGCCTGTGGACTAAGAGGGGCAGAGGGAAGCACGTGCCGCCCTGCAGTAGCCCATAACAGGGCTGGGTGCTTGGAAGAGCACTCACCTCCACATCAGAGTTCGAACAGATCAGCGTCACCATCAGCACAGTGTTTTCCTGTATGTAAAACCAAAACCCAGTCAGTGTAGAAACAAGCCAAAATATACTGAACTCCTTCTAAAGTAAATGAGACAAGTACATGCATTGCTGGATCAGAAATGCTGCTGGGCTTTATCTTGCTCTCAGGAAAATCTGTCTTCCTCTTTCTTTCCTTTACAGCCATCCACCAATGCTGGGATCCTGTTTATGATGAAGTCAAAGCAAACCTATCTTCGAACCTCTCTCCCTGTGATTCCTGTAGATTCAGAAAAGCTACTGGCCATTTTCTAGGACTTCAGGTAAATCCAGATTTCTACTTGAAAGAAACAGGAATGTCCCACGCACACCACAGCCACCTGCAGGCTGTTCACTATCTGCTGCTCTCCACCCACATACACATAGGGGTTTACATTAGGGGAAAGACAGCTTAAGGATGCTTATGGCTGTGAACAGAGCACTCCAGGAAGGTAAATAATTTAGTAGTAACCTGACTGAACACACTGACATTTTAGGCTGCCTTTATGCTTCACACGAGTGCACCTCACTGCTTAGAGCTGTGTTTTCTACAGGCACACAGGGATCATTTTACAGGAGTGCTGGAGAGCTCTGAATGCTACAGTTGTCACATTTTTGGTTTTAAAACTCCCTCTTGCTTTAATTCAGACAGAGTCATTGAAGGAAGGTGACAGCAGGCACACCATGCTCTCCCTTCCTCCCTATTCTCTGCTTGTGGAAGGGTGACCTCCCAGGCAGTGAGCTCAAGCTCATCTGGTCCTTTGAAAATGGGTTATGAATCACTGGAAATCCAAGCCCCCAGGCTGAAACTCATTGCATCCCAGAATTAGCCATCTCATCCTTACAGCCTGCTAGCTAAAGGCTTACCTCGTAGTCCACTGTTTCAGCCAGCTGCAGCTCAGACCCCTGTATAGCGAAAAATTTGGCATCTTCGGAAGTAGGATCAATGGACACAGCGAAGCCTGGATCCACATGGATAGTGGCCAGCACATAGCCAGGAGGGTTATTTTCATAAACACTTGGTTCACTGTTACTAACAGAACACCCTGGAAAAAGACACAAATGAGAAAAAACTGCCTTTGTGACAGAGCTGGGTGAGACCTGAGGCCCCTCCGGTTCCTCTTGGGGAGAAGGTCATTGAGCAAAGCTGTCTCAGAGTTCCCCCCTGTAATGGTGGAACCTGCTGCCATGGAGTTATTCCCTTGTGGTCATGGATCTCCTGTGAGAGCTTACCTTGTTGCTGTGCTAAAACCTGTGTTATGAAGAGCAGCAGAAGGAGCACAGAAGTGAGGAGCCAGTGAGAAACAGCCATGTTGAGAAAAACCCCTCTGATGAAGCTGATCTCTCCCTGTTTCTCCCAGTGCCATCTGCTACATTCACTACTTCATGAAGGCAAAAAGCACTGCCTGGCTGGCGTGGCCTGCTGCAGTTCAACCTTTGCCTCTTTGCCTCATTAGATGACTTATTGAGAGCCATTTACCACTCATGGAACATGGTGACGCATAGATTTCTGTTTCTGCTGTGTTCCTGGGTCTTACCTGCCCTAAACTCCCTGTAGCAACAGGACGTATTTGAAGCATTCCAGAATTCAGAGCCAAGCCCCCTGAGATGAGCACGAGGGAGGGCAAGGGCTGACTCTCAAGAAGCTCCCTGCATACTCCAGCCTGCTGCAGTGGGGAGGAAGTGGACAAACACCCTTGTTCTCAGCTCACCCACAGTGTAGGAGAAAAGACACAGCTGATCTCACTGCTCCTTTTAACATCCCAATTGATTTCAGAAAGTTCTCACATGCTGCATTTTAGCCAGATGGTCATTAGTGGCTTAACAAAATAAAGGCTGTCAACACTCCTTCTGAAAGGTCTCTTTCCTATGGACCAAAATAGATAAACGTCAAGGTCCTTGAGAAGAGTGTTTCAGCACCACAGCAAGGGAATGGGTGCTTAGGTGAACACTTGAGACAAACTGGCTCCTTTGGAGGTGTCAGGTACATCATACATGGTGAAAACTGATGGTACAGGACAGAGGAGCAATTCTGCAGTGGGCACACTTGATTGCAGCTGAAGATGCCTTATTTTAGAGCTGCTCTTCAAAATCATTGTGTCTCTGTTGTGTAGTTCTCAGTACAGAGAAACTGAACATGACCCAGCTTCAGTGTGCGCTTGAGCCCAGAAACCCCCCGTGTGCTGGGCTGCACCCCCAGAGCGTGAGGGGAAGGTTGAGGGAGGGGATCTTGCCCCTCTATTCTGCTCTCGTGAGACCCCACTTGCAGCACCGTGTGCAGTGCTGGTGTCCCCACATCAGAAGGACATGGAGCTGTTGGAGTGAGGCTAGAGGAGGCCACAAGGATGAGCAGGGGCTGGAGCACCTCTCCTATGGAGACAGGCTGAGAACATCGGGGCTGTTCAGCCTGGAGAAGAGAAGCTGCTGGAGACCTCAGAGCAGCTTCCAGTGTCTGAAGGGGGCTACAAGGATGCTGCCGAGGGACCTTCGTCAGGGACTGTAATGATCGGACAAGGGGTGATGGGTTCAAACTGAAACAGGGGAAGTTCAGGTTGGAGATAAGGCAGAAGCTCTTCCCTGTGAGGGTGCTGAGGCGCTGGCAGAGGGTGCCCAGAGAAGCTGTGGCTGCCCCATCCCTGGCAGTGTTCAAAGCCAGGTTGGACACAGGGGCTTGGGTGACATGGTCTGGTGTGAGGCATCACCGGACCCCCATGGCAGGGGGGTGGAAGTAGATGATCTTAAGGTCCTTTCCAACCCAAACCATTCTATGATTCTATACATTTCTTTGCAGCAGACTCTAGCACCTGGATGAGTTTCTGCTAAATGGAGGCCCTGATATTGGCCCCTTTGTACAGTTGGGCTGTGGGCAGTTCTGACTCCCAGCCATGGAAGGTATGGCCAGGGACTCCAGCTGAGCCCAACAGGGTTTATGTGAGGAAAGCCTGGCAAAACACCTCTTCCCTCACATCCGACATTCCTAATGGTCCAACACCAAACCCTTATTCCTGCTTCCCAAAGAGCAGCCAAAGCACAGGAGTAGCTGACAAATCTTTATTTGACTTCAGAAGCAGGCAGATGCTACCACAGAGTGGAAGTGATGTGCTTCATTCAGGCTCCATCTACTGACAGCACTTCACACTGACATCTATTGCACTCCTCATAATCAAAGAGGGTTTATTGGGGTTTGGCAGCTTTCCAGATTATTTATTTCTTTATTTACTTGCTGATCTCCAGGGTTTTTCCTAAGCAAATCCGGTAGCTTCCGTGTTTATTTCAAGGCTATATACATGCAAAAATGTCTCCTTGGCTGTTTCTTCACCCTCAGTCGAAACCCTCTGTGTCTTCCTTCATGTCTGCAGCCAGATGCTTTAAGATGGGGCAAATGTACTGGCTGGTAACTGCAGCAGCTTCCCTGGCATCATCCTCTGGGTGGCTGTTGGAAGGGAACAGGAGGTGTGACAAGGCCACCTTGTCATGTTCAAAGATGACTCCAAGCAGCAGATGTATGATAGAGGGGCTACCTGCAGCCAGACACCCCATGAATGCACAGGTTGGTGCTACCATCCCCATTTTTGTGGGCTACATGGGCAAGAGCTCCTAAGGGCCAGCTTATTCCTCCTGATTTTCGTGATTTCACAGTGAGATGTCTCACCGAAAATGGCTGGTCACTAGGAAGAGACAACATCCAGATGCTGGGACAGCCCATCCTGAGGTGTGTGTTTGAATCAATAACCGAATGAAGACAGGGTAGCAAAGGCTTTCCATTTTAACTGCTAGATCAAGTTTCCTCATGGGATGAACTATTGTTTCAGTCCAGGATGGTTAGAAAAAGATACTATTTAATTTTCCTGGGATTATTATTTTTAATAACTGGCTTTTACATAGCACTTCTCTGTAACTCTCAATGCCAGCTTTGCTTTAGGGAAGGCAAAACTGAGTGCCAGGTGTGCTTGGCACATAGTAATAGAGATTACCATGAAAGTAGGCATGGAAAACAATTGAGATTATATACAACCACATGTCACCTTGCAGTTCAACTACAGCATTTGCTTTTCCAGCTCTGCAAACCATCCCTGGGAGTGTGGTTGTGTGCAGAGTGACAGGAGGGACCAAACTGTGTGATGGAGGCTGCAATTCAGCAATGACAGTCCCTCAGACCGTGCCTCACAAGCTGATGGGGAATGAGGCAGAAGTGATTTTAACATATGGACAATTTAATAAATCTTCCACCCTTCCCCTTTTTAAAGATATTTTGGAGGATATTTTTGAAGATCTATTTTAGTTGGAACAATTGCAGAGGAGGCCACAAAGATGAGCAGGGGCTGGAGCAGCTCCCGTATGGAGACGAGCTGATAACACTGGGGCTGTTCAGCCTGGAGAAGGGAAGCTGCTGGAGACCTCAGAGCAGCTTCCAGTGTCTGAAGGGAGCCTACAAGGATGCTACAGAGGGACCTTCATCAGGGACTGGAGTGATGGGACAAGGGGTGATGGGTTCAAACTGAAACAGGGGAAGTTCAGGTTAGAGATGAGGCAGAAGTTCTTCCCTGTGAGGGTGTTGAGGCGCTGGCACAGGGTGCCCAGAGAAGCTGTGGCTGCCCCATCCCTGGCAGTGTTCAAGGCCAGGTTGGACACAGGGGCTTGGAGCAACCTGCTCTAGTGGAAGGTGTCCCTGCCCGTGGCGGGGGCTTAGAACTGGATGATCTTAAGGTCCTTTCCAACTCAAACCACTCTATGATTCTATGGTATCAGCTGAGCCCTTCAGATCATTAACAGACTTTGGTGCTTCGGGGCAAACCCTGGGCATTTACAAGTTACTAAAAGTCTTCTTTCAGCCTCAATACTGTGACAAGCAGGGCCACAGAGGTGACAAACCTGTCCTACCTACCTGGTGTTTAGAAAGCTCTGGTACAACCTCATAAAGCAGAGTTCCTCCTTGCTGTTTTCATCTTCTCTCTCCTGCACGTATGTGTTGACTGGGCCTGGAGGGCTGGTTTAGATAAAGAAAACCATTAATCATAGAATCACAGACTGGTTTAGGTTGGAAAGGACCTTAAGACCATCCAGTTCCAACACCCTCCATGGGCAACGACACCTCACACTAGGCCAGGTAGTGTAAGCAGCACAGCTGTAAAGCAGCACTGCTCTGGAAGCCAGGTTCACCCCACAGCACCCCAGTCATGGTCCCATCTCTATTAACCTGCTGTCACCAGTGCTGTGCAGGAAGAAGAAGAAGTGTCCTCTTCAAATTAGGCTCTGATGCTTTCTGGCTGGCAAATGGACAGGTTTTAATATGCACTTGCTCTCTGCCTCATTACCCAGTTACTGGCACGTCTTTCCACCCATAGATGTATATACCTTTTCCAAGCATTTGGAAATGAAAACTCTCCTGCATCTGCCAGGACTTTGTTAGTCATACATGCCACAGAAAATATCAAAGCACATGGAACAGATGGGAAGGAATCAATGTGCTGTCTGTGCCTTGAAGGAAGGACCATGCTTGAAGGAAATCTCTGCAGGCAGTGTTGACCCTTCATAACATACCAGCATCAAGGGCAGCAGCAGCTGGGGGTTATATCACAGTGCTCCACATATTATAACTGGTGATGCGTTCACGTACGTGGCTTCAGTGGGAGCAGTGGCCCCATATTTCATCTGGATAAAAGGCCACATATTCGCCATATATATATGATTATACCTAAAGTCTGCCCAGTTGGGCAGTCAGAGCTGCGGGGGGGATGACTGTGTCAGTTCTGGGCCCCTCATGACAAGAGAGACATTGAGGTGCTGGAGCGGGGCCAGAGAAGGGCACCGGAGCTGGAGCAGGGCCTGGAGCACAAGTGTGATGGGGAAGGGCTGAGGGACCTGGGGGTTTAGTGTGGAGAAGAGAAGGCTCAGGGGGGCCCTGGTCGCTCTCTGCAACTGCCTGACAGGAGGATGGAGCCAGGAGGGGGCTGGTCTCTGCTCCCAAGGAACAAGGGATGGGACAAGAGGAAACAGCCTCCAGCAGCACCAGGGCAGGTTTAGAGTAGAGATTAGGAACATGGCCCAAGCTCTTTCCCATTCCCAGGAAGCAGAGCTCTTACCTGCGCTTGCGGCCCATCAGGTTTTGGATGAATTTCTGGACCTGAGCATTTCCTCTCATCTTGCTGTACTCACTGGTGAACAGTCCATCTGAGTGCCTCTGGGACCTGGGAACATGCAGTACAACGCCTGTTCCTCTCAGCCATGTGATGTGGAGCTCATCATCACAAGACAGAAGAACCTCTCTCTTCCCACCATCAAGGTGTCCTGTATCCATCCCTCCCCTTCTCCTCTCTTGTCTCATCTTGAGCATCTTTTGGATGAAACCAGTGCTCAGGCTGGCTCTGGAGCTGAAGACAGCTCAGCCCCATGGATACCCCCCTCACTGCTGGGATCCTATCTCTCCCTGGAGACTTTCAGACCCCAGGAGGGTGGAGGGTGGCTTTGGCTGGTCCTTACCTCTCCTTGAGGCCCATCAGGTGCTTGACCAGCTGCCGCACAAAGGCATTGCCATTCATCTTGCTGAGCTCACTGTGGAAGAGCCCATCAGCATGTCTCTCAGTCCTGGGTGGTCAGGAGAGGAAGAATGGTGAAAAGGAATGGTTTTAGGACCAGAGAAAAATGGGATTTAAAACTGTTCCCACAAGGAAAGAGGGTCCCAAGCAAAGATGGGCAAGAATTTGTCAAAGCTTCACACAAAAGAAGGGGGCAAATCTTATAGGAACTCATATCTTTGTTCATCATCACGCAGAGAAACTACCTGCACTTGCTTCCTTCTAATGTGATCACCTTAACATAAGGATATGGGAATGGGAGGTTAATACTGATTCAGCACAAAAGAGCAGGAGAAGAGTCTGGAGAAGCAGTAAATTAAACACCCAACTACACAACCCTTGAGGAACAGGTAGATAATGGTGGTGGTACCAAAGCCCAGCACCCACAGTGACTGAGTGACAAGGCGTTAAAAGCAGTGCTCAAAGCCCCTTGCTGTGGCCGTGGAAGGGCTGCAGAGGGAACCTCAGCTCTGTCCTCTGACAGCCCAGCTCCTCTAGTCCTCTGTGCTCTGTCCCTGCACAAGAGGGAGAAGGGACAACCCTCCCAGGTCTTACACGCAGGAGTGTGAACTGGTGAGCTGACAAGTTGACTGGTTTTGGTTTATGTTTCATGGGAATAAGCTGTTTGAAACAGAAACTTCCACCTCTATCAGCCTGTGTAAGTACCTAGCAGGAAAACAGGCTCAAAAGTGTCTTTTTTACTGTAGTTTGGTCTGTTTGGGGCCCTGATTTTCTCTCCCAAACAAGTTAATGTTTCTGTTCTTAAGCAAGACAAAACGTTCACAACATTTGCTCTCATTTAACTAAATCAATTTAGGGAAGAAAAAACCCAGCAGCCAAGCAGATGCAAGTTATTGAGGGAAGATAAAAGGCTGACTTTATAGCTCACAGGCTCTTTGAAGAAGCCATGGAGAAAAGGGAAGCAGAGGCACAGGGAATGCTTACCTCTCCCAGGATGGAAGAGATGCTGAGAAGTGTGAGAGCACAATCATGGGAATAATCAGTTGCCACAGACCAGTCATCACGGAAACCATGTTCTCTCCTGAATTAAACCACAAGCTTTTATGAGCAGCAGCAATGACCTTGCTCTTTGTCTGATATAGTCCACATGCCACACAGAAGCCCTGGCTCTGTATATAACACCACTACATATTAGGCAGGAATTCCTGCCAGCAAAGGTTGTATTATTTAAATACAAACGAGAAACAGTTCAAATCATTCATGTTGTCAGCTCATTGGAAGTTGGTTGTAGTTGTTATCCCAGCACTGTGCTATCCTGGAGCATAGGTCTGAGGGTGGCTGTGTGAGATGATGGATGTGCTGGAGTTTCGCTCCATACAGGGAGGTATGGTGTGAGTTAATCCATCAGCAGCACAACACCACGGAATAAACCCCATTCTACTAGAAGTCTCGGAGAGCTGAGCCTTCAGGGAGAGGATTTAAAGCCCCTACATCCCACACAGTTATTAATATACTTAGAGGATGCTCAGGAGAAACCTATTTGGGGTTTTTCAGACCAAAACAAATGGCATGTACCAACTAAAAGTTCATGTCCACACAGGGGAAGGGGAGAGCTCTGTGTGTGCCTGTATCTGTCTATGCTCTAATCTTTCAAGAAGGAAAAGAGAAATAACCCACATTTACAGTAGCAGCAGAACCTCCTGTTTTGTTTTCTTACTGAAATAAAAAGCAAAGCACATTTTGTTCACCACGAGCTATTGCATGGTTTCCCCTTTTATTTCCAGGCTCTTTTTGCAGCCCTATGCCAGCAGAGATGGGGCTGTGCCTTTGTGGGTGCTCACATTTCCCCAAGGATTCCTCAGGAGCCATATCTGTAATGTATAATACTTCTGCCTTCCTCCTGCATAGAAGCAAACCTTGCTTGCTTAGCCCTGTCCTGGAAACTCTCACATAGCACTTGCTAACCCCAAAACTCCCACTTTGGCTTTATTTTAGACTGAAACTAGACAGCAAAAAGAGCATTAAAGGGCTGTCAGGGTTCCCTGAACAGTTTCTAGCCACCCTTCTGGGCCTGTTTACTACTTTAGAGATGAGAAGAGGCTTTATACAGAAATATATTTGCTGTAAACCACAGCACAAATACCTAATGGTGGCAAAGAGCAAATAGATGAGAGGTTTTGCATGATTAAGGAGCCATAAGCTTCATCTCACACACACTTGTGATGCTCTGGTGTTGTGTTTTCCTGCCTGATTTGGCTTTGAGGGAGGTGGAATAAGTAAAACAAGAAGGACACTTCAAAGTTTCTTATTGGAGTCCATACAAACCAGACTCCACAGTTCTGCTTCCCAGCTGAGGGAAGGGAAAGAACCTGAGGGAAGGAAAAGAGCGAAAACCAGCCACAGAAGCCAGAGAACAGCATCCTTCAGGGGTGAAACTTGGATCTGCAGCCTTGTTCCCAGCCAGGATCTCACCACAGCACTTTGGCTTTCCCTGTGCCAACCCTGGGCTGACACTTGTCTTGGAGCACCACATTTAAGAGCCTATTCTAAACCCCAGCCCTAGCTCCAGAGTTTCCTCTCTCTTCGTAACCTTTCTAGTTGCTAATCAAGTGGATCAACTTCCCTTTTCCCTTTCCCTAACTTTGTCTTTCCTGTGCACATCAGACTTGCTTGCTGAAGTTGCTAGGAACAGAAATGGCTGCTGGGGAACTCCTGTGTGTCAATAATGATGTATTGCACTGGGTTTAAATCAGTCAGACCCCAGGGAGGAGGTAGATCTTCAGTGTCTTCACAGTAGAGCCATTTAACCTTCTTAAAATACTTCTGAGCTTTTCATTGCCCTCCCCAGTGATGCTGGCTCTCAATAAATGCAAACTCCTTCGCTAGCTGGGACCTTTAGCTGGAAGAAGTGTGTACCAAGTCAGCCCCGGACCTGGGAGCATCTCAGACCTTCCCAGCATACAAAGCCTGCTGAAATGTCAGATTGCACCCAAAGGCTTTGCAGAATCAAGGCTTCCATCACCCTGCAGAAGCACTAGTGCTAGGAGAGCTTCCAAACAGGCTGGTACACAGCCATTTGAGCACCTTCTTGCTCCTGCCCATCTTCTGTACTCTACCTAAACCTAAAGACCATGTATTTCTGGAAACCATCTGGTCCCACTGCTCTCTGGGCTCTGTTCTTTCCTCTGGTTGCTCCAGAGGAGGAAACCCCCCCATATTACCAGCAGTGCAGTTCAGGACATGGATAGCCTCATGGCAGTGGCTCAGCAAAGCATCACAGGGGCCTGAAATCCCCCACCCAAAAACTGAGAGAAGGGAGAAGGCCATGGGGCCAGCCTGCCCATGCCAGCACCATGGTACTCACCACCCCGTGGTCACCCGGGCTCTCGCTGTCTCGCTGCAACAATGCTCCACTGGCCCACTCCTCTCCATGGCCCCCTATAAATGTGCAGCCCTTATCAGAAGCAATTATTTGGGTAAAGATATGAATATGAGTAATTGTGATTAACAGCAAATAATCCAGTTCTGCTGATGGGCAAGAATTCCTGCTTCTGTCTCTAGTGACAGTAATTCCTTGGGCAAACATCCCTGTATGGATTGATTCATTATGATTGTCATCATTATCTCTCCTCCTGACTTTAATTACCTCTTGATAGCAGCTTAATCTGCCATTTCTTTTTAATCCTGGCTTGCCTTTTGTTCGCAGCTGCCAGGAACTGTTGGTGAGTGCATGTGTGTACCTGGGATTTGCCTAAACAACGGGTCACATTTTAGGGCAAACATTGTCTGATCAGTAGGACGAGGGTTGACTTCTGCAGGAAGGGACACCACCTTCTCAAGCTGTGGTTTCACAGCATGTCTGGAAAAGGGCTCTATCACAGCCTTTATCAGAGCTTCAAAAAAAAGAAGGATATTTATACAGGCATAGAAAACGTGGAGTAAATTCCCTGCTTTTCCTGGGGTTTGGAGCTGATTGCTCTCAAATACTAAAGGTGGTGTGGAAATGGAGGGAGAAAACAGGATTATGACCTTTCTCTCCTTCTTTATGTTGTATAAAGTAGCATGAAAGGTTTAATGATTATAAATAAATCTTCTTATCTTCCAACTGGAGAAATAGAAGCTGTATTACACTTCTTCTTGTCTACTTACCTTGTTTTCTTTGGAAAAACAGAGTGCATCTCCATGACTGGAGAGCTGAGAGGAATATGATTTTTCCCTGTCATCTTTCCCTTGGAAGAATAACCCACACCCTGCTGAGCACCAAGCCTCAGCACCACTGCCTGTGACTGCAGGCTGCAGCCAGCCCCCTGCAAATGGGAGGGGAAGAAACAGCAGGGACATTCCAGATCCCATTCCAGGATTGGAATATGGAGAGGTGCCATGGCCACCGCTGGGACTGGGAAGCCCATTTCCTTTTTCAGACAGTGCAGGTCAGTCCAGACATTTCCCAACCATCTTCCTCTCCTTTGTACAGGGACTGCTTTCCCCAGCTGCCTTTGTGCTGCCAGTCCTCTCTGGCGACCAGGCCCTGCTTTGGGAGCCCCCAGTGACATTGGTGACATCTGAAATTCTTGTAGTTTTGTCCTTTGCATTTAAATCTTATTTTCAGTGTTTGTATTTTCTGTTTGCATCAGTGGTGGCAGCTTCAGCTTGGGCTCATGGTGTTGCCAGTCATCTTCAAGTAATGAAGACCATGTAGGAACAAGGCCAGGAGGAAAAAAGGGAGCTAACATATAGGGAGCTAAAAATGATTCATGTGGTTTCCTTCCCGTTGCAAAGAACGTCAATGCGTCTGAAATGCCCCCAGTCCCTGGGGAAAACTCAGTTTGCTGTGAGAACCTAACCGTGTCTAAGGCAGAGGCATCTAGACGAGGTTGCAATGACGAGGTGGCCCCATGATGGCAGCAGAGGGTGAGTAACAGCAGAGCTAAAGCTTCTGGGGACTGGAAGAACACGGACCAAGTAACCTGATGCAACAAACCCCGACATTTGCCTGGCAGCAACCAGGCAGAGAGGGAAAAGGTGATGGGCTAGAAAACTGCGTGGCCATGGCCAGCACTGATGCAACATAATGCAGGTGACAGACACAGCTTGAGCTTATCTGCAGCTCCTGAGGTCCCTGATGAGGAAATTATGGACCATGAAAGGAAACCCAAAAGCTTTTGGAAGCTGAAATTTACACCTGAATAAACACGACCCCAAAGCAAATCCCCAGTCCTGAAACAACATCTGATTGTGCTTTAACTAGAATTAACATTAAACTCTTATCAGGAGACATTATGGAAGCAGGAGTGATAAACAGCTGAATGGAGCCTTGTGAATTTGCACCTTGCTTTTCCCCTTCTCCATTTGTATGAGCATTCGGGGTGGGAGAGGAGATTTCCCCTGCCTGCATGCAGCGGGAATAAAGTGTGATTAAATCATCCTTTAATCACTGGTATCTAACCCATCATCTTTGTGCAGCATCATTGCATAGGGAAACTCCCCATCATTGACTCTAAGAACAAGGGGAAAGGACATCATTGCCCTCATCTGATCCCTGCTCCTTGCACAGTTGTCACACCCTAAGCTGCATGAAGTCAGTGCTGAACAGATCCCTGCCACCAGCTGCCAGTGACTTACCTGTTCAGGGGACAAAACACCATTTCACAGGGTGTATAGCAAAGTGCACCAAAGAGGTGACACTGAGGAGCACTGAGGCCATGCACCAACACTCCTTGAAGAGGGCAGAGACACAGATCTGCAGGAGAATGGGTCTGTGAGCTCTGGGGCCACCCCTGAGCAGGACATGAGCTGCCCTGAGGATGTTGCCAGGTATAAAGCCACCAGGATCTTGATGCAGTCACTTCTGCTTAGGCTTGACACCAACTGACACACGCAACGTGGAGAGACCTGTGGTGATCTGCATCAAGTAAATCCAGTTACTACAGGTCCAGGAGCTATTCCCAGCAGCCACACTGTTGGCTGGGGACACTTTTGTGTGTGGCAGTGAGCACAGGTTATGAAACAGAGGGGCCATCCCCAATTTGACACCAAGACCCTGCATTAAACGGTACCTACTGGCTAGTGCACACAA